TGTGTGTGTGTGTGTGTGTGTGTGTGTGTGTGTGTGTGTGTGTGTCAGGAGAGAGAACGCAGACCTGTGGAAGGTGGTTCTGGGTCTGACCAACTTGGACCACCCCAGTCCTCACAGCCAGAGCCGAGGGGTTCGCTCCATCATCGTTCATCCACGCTACAACCGGGCCGTGGTGGACTATGACATCAGTGTGGTTCAGCTGGACTCTGAGGTCTGACTTTAACACCACAGATCATCAATAAAAATTAATTATCAACAAATATCATTAGTTAGCATTCACTATCAATAATTATCCTTAGTTATCATTAATTATTCTTAATTACCAGAGATTACAACAGTTGTTTTGTTTGTCTCAGGTGGATGAGACGGTCTATGTCAGACCGGTGTGTCTGCCTCAACCTGGACAGCTGCCCTCACCAGACTCCTACTGTTACATCACCGGCTGGGGTCACATGGGCAACCGTAGTCAGTAAACACACCACCACTTTATATTACTGATACGAGTCATTGAACACACCACCACTTTATATTACTGATACGAGTCATTGAACACACCATCTCTTTATATTACTGATAAAGAGTCATTGAACACACACCACCACTTTATATAACTGATACGAGTCATTGAACACACCACCACTTTATATTACTGATACGAATCATTGAACACACCACCACTTTATATTACTGATACGAGTCATTGAACACACCACCACTTTATATTACTGATACGAGTCATTGAACACACCACCACTTTATATTACTGATAAGAGTCATTGAACACACCACCACTTTATATTACTGATAAGAGTCATTGAACACACCATCTCTTTATATTACTGACTAAAGAGTCATTGAAAGTAAATCAGTAAATCTGAAGTAAATCAGAAATATTTGTCTTGATCTTTAAACAAGTTTAAACATCAAGACAATACTTTTCTTTCCTCATGTGTGTTCAGTGCCGTTCAAGCTGCAGGAGGGAGAGGTCCGAATCATCTCCATGTCCCAGTGTCAGTCCTACTTCGACATGAAGACCATCACTCCCAGAATGCTTTGTGCTGGATATGAAGCAGGAACAGTGGACTCCTGCATGGTACCGTCTCAACCTCACTACTTCAACACTGTCCCTTTGCCTACAGCGCCCCCTGGTGTCTGAGTCCTCATTAGTTTTTATACCGGTCTCAATGAGAGCTCAACAAAGCTTTATTATATCTGATGTGTGTGTTCATGATGTGTTCAGGGTGACAGCGGCGGCCCGTTAGTGTGTGAGGAGCAGGACGGAGCTCGGTGGACGCTGTTCGGTCTGACTTCGTGGGGCAGTGTGTGTTTCAGTAAAGTTCTTGGACCTGGAGTTTACAGCAACGTCACTCACTTCACCCCCTGGATCCAGCAGCAGATCTACATCCACACCTACCTGACAGACTGACTCCGCCCCCTCACGCTTCTCTAAGCACCCGGTCATTCCTGGAGGAAGTGATGTCACGTCAGTAATAACTCACTTCAGCTCCTCCTGTGCCTAAAACTGTTCCAAGAGCCTCTGAAGCTAACAGCTGAGAGATAAAACTACAAACACTGACAGGAAGTTGATATATGAGCTGAAAGATAAAACTACAAACACTGACAGGAAGTTGATGTATGAGCTGAAAGATAAAACTACAAATACTGACAGGAAGTTGATGTATGAGCTGAAATATAAAACTACAAATACTGACAGGAAGTTGATGTATGAGCTGAAATATAAAACTACAAATACTGACAGGAAGTTGATGTATGAACTGAAAGACAAAACTACAAATACTGACAGGAAGTTGAT